GATAATCAAATATATAATAGAAAGTGTTATTGCTATATTGGAAAACAGCATTCATAAATTCAGATTACCTTTAGTAGAAATCTAGATCTAGAAAATGCATGACTAAAAAGGCAAGAATGAGTTCCTGTCAAATATGTAATCTACTAGCTGAAAACCAAACAGTGTCAAGGCAGTATTTGTTCTCAATTTTGTGCTTGCATTCAAAATATTTTTTGCTATTAATTTTCTGACTAAAAGGGCAATGACAACAGTTAGAACAAAGAAAGATAAAAGTCTTCAAATAGCAGCTAAAATGACATGGAGAGGAATTACTCATATGCTTTTAAAATACTTAAGGCTTAGCTGGAATGAACCAGAAAGCTCAGTATATTTTAGATTAGAATTTGTAGACATTTTGCTTCCCAAGATGTGCCCTCTATTGTGTCCGCCAGAGCTTAGAGCTTCTTTCACTTTTACAAACAATTATTTGGTCAGTTGTCAGATTTTCCAATACAAAATAAGGAGCATCCCTTGGAATTTCTTAGATATTGCTAATGACAACCTGAGCTTTATTATATTAAAAATTCCTCACAACTCAGTCATTAAAATTTAATAAATTCTAAACACCAGCCTCTTCAAAGGACAAGAATTAATCCCTATTTGTAAGATAATGCTTTCCAGAGGGAAGATGAGGGCAGATTCTTTGGCTTTACTGCTTCTTGGTTGCTAGATTGCCTTTTAAAATGTATTTGTCTATTTATTTATTTTATTATCAAGGAGCCTGGCTAAGGTGCACTAAGACTCCACGTTCCCTACTGTAGAAGGAATCTACCACATTTTCATGAAACCTTGTCCTTATGTTTCATTTACACTGCAATGCACTGATTGAATCAACCCTTCCTTGTGTTTCACAGACAGAGTGTTTTCATTTTAAAGAACAGCTTCCTCTTTGGGGAGAGGGGAATGAACAGCTTTTCTAGGAGCCAGAACACTACTTTTAAGCCTACAAAAGGAAAAGCAGATTCTTATTAACTGTAAGTCCTATCTACAAACAGAGATTTTTGGCTCTCCAGGAATATAACTTTTTGAAAATGATTCACATCGATACAGCTTTAGTGAGACAAAGATTGTGCCTGCATGTACCTTGTCTTCCTTTGGGACTAAATTAAAGCTTGATGATATAGGTTTTTATCAGCGTGACTCTAACCAGCTTTTTATTTTTTTAATGTGAAAAATCTTGTCTACACTGTAAATTCTTTTGTTCGTATATAAGAAATAATTAGAAACAATAAACTCTTCCAAAGCCTACAAAGATATTGTCCAAACATTTACTTATTCTGAATTCTTCACAGCATATTCATAGGATAATTCAGAGTTATGAACAGCTGCTGCTACTCTCTAAATGCATCAAATAACACATTTTCCAGGGGTGGTGGATAACAAAATAATTTCTAGTTTCTGTCATATTAATATATGGGTATAAATGTATCCACATACCTTTTAAGAACCTTCTTCTGAGTGCTCAGCTTTATCAAATCAGATATGGGTCATTCTCACTGCCTAATACATATGAAATCTGTAATTCATACTGAAAAATTATACAGATAGGATGAGGCATGCGTCAAAATCTGTGTCACTCAGCAAAGTATTTCCTTACTATGACAACATAGTCACAGACTTAGATAAATTGGTAGAAATGGGTGAATTGTTTTAATGTCAAATCCAGCTACCAGAAAAATTAGTATTTTCTAACTGCCCCTAATATTTGAATACATTTAAAACCACAGTTGCTGGTTTATTGATCAAAAGTCAGCAAAGAAAATAAGGGGCAGAATATGCAAAATCAACAAAAAGTCTCTTTTAGTTCATAGCTTGCTGTAATGAAAATGTATAAAAAGATGGCAAAATAGCACTGCTAGTGTGGCTGAACACACAATGGTTTAAATAATAAAACAATTAGTAATTCCTGGCTTAACGGTTATCATGAGGAATTGTTCAAACTCTATCTCTCTGATTCTGTGTCTGTTTCTCTACCTTTTACTCATTACAGCCTGAAAGAGTTGTCTGCTCCTATACTTGAAATCTGGGCTTTCCTCCCAAGATTGCTAAACAGCTCTTTCAGCCTATAACCAGACAGTTGCAGTTTCTACTTGTCACTGGGACAGCTGGTTGCATCTCCTCATTTTACTGGAAAGGGACACAACTGTGGAAGTCCTTGAGCCTTTTCCACAGTCATACCTTACTTGCAGTTTAGTGCAGATGAACCACATCATTACATATCCTGTTAGATTTGCAAATGAATGAAGGAAACAAATTTAAAATGTTTCCTGTTCTGTTTGTGTAGGTAGGGAAGATATGTAATCTTCCAAGTATACAATTTTGACACTTTAAGAGAAGGACACTACAAATGATTTCTGACCTCCTTTTTATCCATATTTTTCTAATTCAGTTCAAACCTCTGATTCAATTTTAATCAGAGCAATGAAGGTGGAAAGAGGATAGTGAACAACCAGGAATAAATTCTTATTCATTCTCAGGTTTTTAACGCTGCCTTTAAGTTTTATTAAATCTTCAACCTACAGTAGATTTTATGGACTTTGACTGAAAATGCAAAACCATTTTAGGTCAACACTGAAAGACAGCTCATAAATCATAGTGGGAAAATTCATGTTATTTCACCCTGCAGTTCACCTGACCCTAAATACTGCTGATGATTAATTTTAAGTATTAAATTCACATTTGCCTACAGATTTACAGTCATTTAAAGCATCTAAGAAAAAGAGTGAGAAACAGACTTATTCAAATGAATAGATCTACTGTTTAACTATGGAAAAGTTATCTAAACTCAAAAATCCCACAAAGAAATTACAGATACTCTCAAAAGTAAAATTTGCTTATATTAGGGAGAGGGAATTCAGATACAGTGGCCTAGCTGACAAGTTCTCCCATAACACCATTCCTAAGTTCTGTATTTAAAAAAAAAACACAACAAAAAGAAGCAAAAAGCCATATTAACACACCCACAAACTCTACATCTGAAAACTTCTTACTTTTCTCTGAGAGTAACCATCAGATAACTCCAATTTTTTCTGTTTGCAAGGATATTCCAGCTAAAGCGAAGACAGGGTATACTCCTGCTGAAGCAAAGAGAGTGGTTGACTAGGAACACTTGCTACTGACATTGATATCTGTCCTCATTTTTGAACCCTGTTTTTGTAGTGGTACAATTTTTGGCTGCCTTATTTATGCTGTTTATCCTTATTGGTAAGTAAAATGGTTGGAAAAGAAATTAGGTGTTCTATTGCAAGAGAAGTAGTAGCTGAGGGGATAGTTAAGCAGAGGATGTAGGCTAAAGTGACACTCATAATCAGTCTTGGATTTTGTTTATCTGCCTGCGACACTGGATGCTATTCCATGTCAGGATATTTTTTCCTTTAATTTTAAGGTAACATCATACAATGAAAATATGGAATAGATTAAAAAATGCTCTAAATATTTTCTACTTTAAAGCAGAAAAGTTACTTAGCTGTGTCCCACATTACTTTAAATCCCTCATAGAGCCTGAGAAACACTCACCTTCAAGGCTGCTGTAGGCTTGCTCTCAGCAGAGAGTCCCTACGTCACCCAGCTGACTTTAATTGGCCAGAGTTGTCCCTGAATTTATAAAACCTGAATGCAGCTGAGAGGGTGACCCCCAGATTTGTCACCATACAGAAAAGCATGAAGCAACACATTGAGGGGATCCATCATGTTCCATGACAAAACTGTAGTGGGGAATGAAATAATCTTCAAACCCTATCTTTGCATGGAGTTTTCCTCCTTTTCAGATCAAACATTCCTCCCTGAGGGAAAAGTGTTAAACAAACTGATCACCAGGCTCTCAGAACAGCTGTGTAGTCCCAGCTGCTGTTTTCAGGAGCAGGAAGTTTGGAGACATTTCAAGAGACAAACAAATGAGATACCCTGGTTATTTTCCTCTCCAGAAGTACACACTTATATATGGGCTCCTTTCTGCTGCAATGGTTTAATAGAGTGTTGCTGTGGAAACACTGGCACCAAAGTGCACCTAATAGGAAGCTATGTAGAAAAATCAGCACATATATCAAACTCATTGGGCTTTGCACTGAAAAATACTTTGGTGCACTCTCCCTTGGCATTTTATTTGTCCCATGTTTTGAGAGTATCCTAGTGAAAATTAATGTTTTTCTAATGTTACTTCTCTCTGTGTTAGGAGAAGAACAAAACAGAACAAACACCTGAACTGTTAAACACCAAATGGGAAGTTTAGCTATAATTGTCTTTGAGCATTCATGTGATAAAGTCAGAAAAAGAGAGATGTCATAAAAGCTTTTCACTATTAAAATCCAAATGTACATATTGTCTCTATAATAATGAAAGCAATCATATATTCAGTGAAAGTAGTTTGGTGAGTCTTTACTGAAGCCTTTCAGGAGTGCTTTATCTGGAATGTCTTCTTGTTTTGTTTTTGCTTGGGGTTTTTGTTTGTTTTGCCTTTTTTTTTCAAAAATAAAGTATTGTTTAAGCGGAAAAGCACATTTTAATTGCAGTGTATGGGAAAAAACTGTTTTTCATTTTTAGTGTGTGTGACGACATTCTTTACTAAAAGTGAAAACCAATGATGTATGAAATGAGTGTTCATTAGGCTGGTACATGAGCTTCTAAAAAGGTATGGCTAAAACCCTTTATTTGGACACATAGCTTACATAACTATGACTTATTTTTAGACATAAACAAAAAATACTAAAAAAACAAAGAATTTTGTCTCATGGATGATGTTATGGAAAATGAGAAGCAGTGAGGTTGTTGGATATTTATGATCTGACCAACTGATAAAAAAATAATGTAGGTAATATCTGAATTATCAAACAAATGGAATCAGCGGTTACTTCAAAACAATTTGCGTATTATGTCTTTACTGTGACAAAATTATAAGAAATTACTGAGGTATGTGAAACACCTGAAAAATTACAATAACTGCAGAGACCTTTAAAGATACTTACATCACTTTCATGGCCTTCTCTTAGATTGTAAGTGAGATCATGCTGGATGTCTTCAACAAACTTGTGAGCATACTCTGGGTACAGGTCCAGCACTTCAAAGAGACCTTTGAGTATAATACATTGGAGGTCACAATATGTTAGAGCTTTAACATCTGCGTTTGTTTTAATAACTTGATCCCTAATGGATAGGTTTGCTCCAATTAAATCTCCTTTACCTGAAAAAGAATACAAAAATAATTATCTTCAAAGCATAAATTCTTTACTCTTTTGAATCATAAAGCTGTTTAATATAGTTGCTATACCTGAACATGAAATCCTATTGTTATTAACGTCTTTTTTAATTAGTATTATGTTAAAGGATCATAGACTAAATTTTTTTCCTCTTTTTGCAGGGGCAAACTTATACACAATTAATTGGAGGTACAAAAACTAATTTCCAGACAGGTAAATCCAGGCTGATTTAAGGGAGCAGTAAATTAAATATGTACAAAATGAAGATTTACACCAGTAAATAATAACAGGTGCAATTATTTTTAAAAAAAAGATGTTGTCAGGTGTTTTTATGCGTGTCTTAAAATGTGCAGGTGTTAAGGTAGCATTTTAGCATTTCTGTCAAAAGTAAAAATTGCTTAAGAAAGAATTCTTGTGCTGGTTTTGTTTTCATTTATGGGCAAGACTGCCTTAGAACACTGACTCTACTAGAAACCTCAACTGACCATCTATTGAGGACTACAAAAATTTTACAATTAAAAGTTTCCATAAACATCTGATCTGAGGTATAAATTCCAAAGTGTAGTCATTGAGCCAGAGGTTTTCCTCAAAAGTTAAAGCAGATGGTCTTCTTTAAAGACCGGGACAGTGTGATGGAATGCATTCTCAGCAAGTCAAGGCTGGGGGAATTGGTTGATGATACTGAAGGACAAAGTTGCATTTAGGGGGACCTCAATGAAAGATAAAATGGCTTCTAGGAATATCATGAAGTCCAACAAATCCAAATGCCAAGTCCCGTACCTGGGATGAAAACCCTCCCTAGAGCAGTATGGACTGGGAACTGACCAGCTGGGCAGCCGCTCTGCAGGAAAGCCCTGGGGATCCTTTTGGACAAGCTGAATATAAGCCAACAATGTGTCCTTGCAGCAAAGGAGTTCAAGGACCTCCTGTGCAGCAATAGCAAGAGTAGAGCCGGCAAGTCCCAGGAAACGACTCTTTCCCTCTATATTTGTCATGTCTCACCTGCAGCACTGTGTCCACTTTTGGGCTTCCCAATAGAAGACATAATATTGACAGAGTGAGTCAAAAAGAGACTACCAGGAATCAGGGACTAAAGAATATAATTTATGAGAAAAGGCTGAAAAAATGGGCTATTGCTCCATCTTACAAAGAAAAGGCAAAGGAGGGATATTATTGGTGTCTTCAACAGCCCAGCAGAAAATTGTAGAGAAAACAGAGTTAAACTTCTCTTCAGAGTGCATGGGGGAACAAGATATACTGGGCACAGTATAATAATAAAATACCACAGAAAGCAAAGCAGTTATACACTTTTACATTTTACTGTAAATATCAAAAATTCCTTAGATTCTATTTTATTCTAATTCTATTCTAATAGAATTAGAATAGAATATTGTATTCTATCTAGAATTCTGTATAGAATATCTATTCAATTCTTCCATTCTATTCTAATGGAATGGAAGAAATCTAAGGAATTGTAGATATTTAGAGTAAAATGTAAAAGTGTATAATTGCTTTGCTTTCTGCTGTATTTTATTATGTAGCAATATATGTTGTGTTGAGCAGAGACAGATGCTATCGGTACCTATCAAATTTCTCTTTCCCAGACTGACCCAATCTCATTCTAGTTCTCATTTATACTAACTGAGATTTTTAAGAGTCTCAGGGCTGTCAGTGTTAATTTATTGCTTGTTGTTTGGACATTTTGTGTTGCTGGACAAGGGAATGAATTTTTCAAATATACCAAAACTGATCCTTAAACATCTTAATTAGAAACTTTTTAGATATATGAACAGTATTAGTATCCATACTTCATAAACATTTTGAAAAAATGTTAGATTTTTATTGGATTGTAGTTAAAATTTTAAAGTAATTTCAGGATTAAAGATACTAAAATTGGTCTGCTAGTGCTAATATATGTTTAATTTTTAAATGAAAATCATGCAGCAAAGGCTGTAGGTAATAACCTGAAGTTTCATGTGGAATTAATGAAGTGATTAACTGATTCTACCTTGAACGTCAACATTTGTTATATAACAGAATAATTTCAGCTATTCTTAGTAGCTCTTTTCTTTTTTCTTTAATTGGATAACAAGCTTATATATACATATTTCTCACAGACACATCTGTTTTTCAATAAATCAGGGACATGTAGTCAAAGTTATAAATGTTCTCATTATGGATATTTTTCAAATAACTTATGGCTAATATTTTTAAGAAATCAATGATATATGCTCAAACAGTACATAACTCATATTAAAACATATTTTACCATAAAATAGAAACTATCCATCATTATTAGAGATAAAGTAATAGTCTCTAGAGGAAGCAAAGATGTATTTAATGAGAGCATTTCACTAAGTTGTTGCTGCACTGCTTGTTAGAGAGAATGGTTCAGTAAACAAAAACTAATCCACTAGAATTAGAATCAGGACAGAATTCTAAAACATTCTGGGAACTGCAAGTAACTCATCATTGTCAGGGAAAAAAACTGCTGTCTTGAATTTACATGACATCAGCAACACAATTTCCCATAGGGACCTATGTGTTTGATGCATTCACCTTCTGCTGGTGTTAGTTAGGTTTAAATTATGAAGCTCCCATTCACTGTAACAAAACATTATTTTCTATTATGTTTATGTTTTTTGCATTATGATTTCATTAACTTCTCTCAGAAATCCTCTAATCGCTTTCTTGTTGTTTTGATTGTCACCATTACACAATGATGCTTTAATTAACACTTTCAGAAGTGCCTGAAGATAGAATCATTAATGAAAAATCATATTTCTAATGAAACTACCTCTAGAACTCTTGCTGGCTTTTAGCCTATGTCTTATTTTAATTCATATTTTATACCTCTGATCTATGTGATCCAATGAAATCAAGAGATTCTTAAACTTCCTAAAAACAAACAAGAGATAGAGTGATGTGGTCTGTCAATCTAACAGAACTAAAGAGTTCTGAAACAAATAAGACCTGTATAACATTTATATATTCTAAAAAAGACCAATGAAATGCATTTTAGTAAAATAAAGGAAATTCAATTACGGAAGACCAGAAGCTTCCATTATCAATGGTCTAGTGTAATCGCACAAAACAGGAAGAAAAGCAAAAAAGGAAATGTTCTTTTTAACTCTGTTTTATAAGAATATTAAAAGTTATTAGAAAGAAGAGAGTTAAGTCTAAACAGATATTAAAATCATAATAAAATAATTCTATTCTTTTAGAGTAAAATTTCACACTTTATTTTGCCAAAGAACTTCATAAACATTAACTGCAACAGGTCTAATCATCCTTTAGCTGAAGATAAAGAGAATTTCTTTAGCAGGACTTAGATGGAGGCAAATCACAGAAATTTATAGGTAGAGATGCTTAAACCTCAATGAGTAAAAACAGTCATCTTGCAAACAACAACTAAAAATTTATTAGAGCAGAATTTCTGGCCTTTCTCAGTTCCAATATACTCAGATGACTGCAGACAGCATCAGTTAGCATGAAGTAGCTTGGGGGAGCAGAGCCAACAATGCTTCTTTTTCACCACGTGGCTTTTCTGCAAGGGGTATTTATAGGCAAGTGCCAAAGAGTGAAAAAATAGGCTCTTCTTGCTTTCTTTGACTTGGGAGCATTAGTGGGAGCATTGCCTGGACACTAATTTTCATGAAAGATTTAGGCATCGATGATCAATGTTCTTTGAGCTATCAATACCACCACCAAATATAGCAGAAAGCAGCAAGCTGTGTCAATAGCTTGCAAGTACGTGTTTACACGAAAATAAGAGAGAATAAGTACAAGGAAACAAGAAGTGAAATATTGCACAGCTAACAATCTGGCAATGGAAAGCTCTTTAGGTCAAAATAGAAGGAAGTTCAAACTAGAAGGAATTAGGACACACTAAGCCGCCAGTTAGTATTGAAGGTTCTCCTGCACTGGGGGACAATTCTTCCTCTTTGAGTCCATGGTTGTGAACGTACCAAGGATTGCCAGCACAGTGCTGTCCTTCAGGACTTCCATGGAACCTGAGCACACAAAGTAGATCGCTTGCAGGGCATCTCCCTGCCGCAGGAGGTATTCCCCAGGAGCACAGAAGGAGGTTTTGATGTGCAGAGACAGAGACCTGAGGCAACCACGACTGGCACACTCAAAAAGGGAAAGCTGCAAAATCTCCTTGTTCAAGTGCATGGTGATGTCTGAACGCAGCTCGTCTGGGAAGTCTTTTAAAAGCTGTCAAAAAGAGGAAAAAAAAATGATAAAAAGGAGAAAATTTGTAAAATTATTTGTTTCCACTTTTGCAGAAATGGCCTGATTTAGTGGTGGGGCACATGTCATACTGTTGCAAATATTTCCCTCTGATTTTTCTTATCCCCTTGATGAGATGTGCTATTTTAAGAAATTTTAACGAATAAATTCCTGAAAAATATGAATAAACAAATGCCTTTTTACTATTAAAAATAAATCCCCAAAAGCCTCAAAAAAAAAACAACCAAAAAACCTCAGGAAAAAAGGTCAACAATATTGTTTGTATGAATCCCCTCTAATGTGCAATTTAAGTTCGTCAAACGTCCTCTCTGTGATAGAACGCAGTAGGCTGCTCAGGTACACCATTGTACACAGTGACATATGCAATGAAAACAGATAATTCTATAAAATTCATCAATATGCAACATTACTTCTTCTATAGTAAAACCACTGCAACAGGCATAACTAAAAAAAACCCCAGCCTTAAATGTGTTTTTTTTCTTGTTGTTATTTTTATTTTTTTAATAATGTAACTGGACACTGAAGGAAGGGTGGGAAAGGAATGGTGACAAGTTGCACATTCAATGGAAGAACCTATGGAAACTAAAAGACCATGAGGTCTCATTTTTCCTTCCAAGCTGCAAGTCCACAAAATACAAGGGTTTTTTTGTAGTTTGAGGGGATGTGAACAGTACAATCAGCCAATGCTTGACCCAGTGGGCTCAGACAAGGTGCTTTATCCATAGAAGGGAAATAATGAAAGACTGATGGTCTCTCCAGGAGCTGTGGTTGTAGTACAGCAGTCACTCACTTTCAGTGTGACTAAAGGTACAGAAAGTACAAAAGCTGAAGGAGATCATTAACCACATCTAGGAAAGCTTTGACATCTAAGTCATTTTTGTACCTTTGTAAATCTTACTAAGCTCCTTCTGTTGCTAAGATGCTGTTGAAAATCCCATTCTTTGTGCTGTGCACAACACAAAAAGATTTTATCAGGAAAAGAATGTTCCAAACCCCAAATCTTTCTGCTTATTTCCACATTATCTTTAGAGACCACTGAGTTTTATAACACAGATAACAAGAAACCTAAAGGGAGTTCTCCATTCAAATAACACTCCAGCAGAGAAAAGCCATTATTTCTCCTGCAGTACAGTAACACATAACCTGGATAAGTAATTTAAAACAAGCAAGCACAGACACCACCAGAAATCTGTCTTTTGATTTCACTCTCAAGTTACACTGTGCAATATTTAAAAAGGTAGTGATATAAATAATATAAAAATTCAGCCTAAATAATTTGTTTACAGTATTGGAATAAGTAAGATGAAGGAAGAAGGAAAGGGTATCAAAGTCCCTCTTTTACAAATAACCTAAAATTCCCATGTAGATGTTTTGTTTACTGAAAGATAGAAATGCTCATTATAGCATTTCTGCCGGCATCATCTAAAAGGTTTCTGATGAATGCCTCTTCAGCATTTGAGAATCACAGAGAGACTGAATTTTTCTACATTATTTGATGTGTTAAACATGCTTTTTCAATTGTGTACCCTCTTCCTGGGATAATCGAGGTTTATTTTTAGGTATGGTTTTCTTTGCTATGTAACTTCACACAAGACACAGCGTGACAAAATAAAAATTACCCCCCTCTTTGCCTCATAGTCAAAACAATCAAACATAAACCCCCCCACATTTGGTTACCTCGTTGGAATCAATTCCATTATTGACAGACCACGTGGTTTGGAAATATTCAAGCATCCTTTGCTTTAGCTGCTGTGGCAGGTGATGGACCCGTATAAAGTCCTTCAAATCCTTGGTTCTTGTGTGATAAAGGGACCACCTGGAGTACATCCTCTGAATTATGGCAGTCACATTGCCAAACACCAAGGCATGCATCAGAGCTAGGAAGCATAGAAATTACATGCAATGTGGAGTGATTTGTTGATCAATAAAACTTAACACAGAACATAAACAGTATCTTCATAGAGTGAAAATTTCCTGATTAAGAGATATAAGAAAGCTTTTGAATATTAAAACTCCTTGAGTAATGGTATATTAATACTGTGGTATTAACATGGTTATTCATTTCTAGTATTTGAAACACTACAAGTCACTGTCATAGGACAGGGTAGAACAACAACTTATTCTATCTAGTCAGGGTAACGAACAAAATAATTAAGTCAAATTAAGTTCATAGTCTAAGAGAAAAGGAAAACAGAGCACAGAATCACAGAATCATAAAACGGTTTAGGTTGGAAAGAACTTTAAAGATCATCTAGTTCCAATCACCCTGCCGTGGGCAGGGATGCCTTTCACTAGACCAATTTGCTCGAAGCCTCATCCAACCCAGCCTTTGACACAGCCAGGGATGGGGCATCCACAACTTCCCTCAGCAGCATCTTCCTGAGCCTCACCACCCTCATAGTAAAGAATTTCTCCCAATATTTAATCTAAACCCTCTCTCAGTTTGAACCATTCCCACTTGTGCTGTCACTACAGGCCTTTGCAAAAGGCACAGGAAGGAACACAAGTAGGCAGGCATGCTCAGAAAATAATGAGATACTCATTATGGAAACTAGACTCAAATGGTCAGCTGGAAACTACACAGAATGTAATAGATTTCAGAGAACTCATGTAAATAAAAACAATTACCAATGTAGAGGAAGAAGGTTGTAAATAATATTTTAAAATGTATCATATTCTGGGTGAAATATTTTAAAAAGTCAGAAAACAACCCCATTGTAAAGCAGAAATTCAAGCTAAAAGAATCATTTGAGGAGACAACCTGATTTCTTATATTGCTGGACAGGGTCAAATATGGTTAAAATTGTTCTAACATCCTGGAGTTTGTCTGCAATTAGTGATTGTCTTGGGAATAAAAAGCCCAGAAGCAAAATTGAAGAAATATTTACAAATATAGGTCGTCTGGGTTTGTCTGTGCAGAAATGTGTTTGCTTATTGGAGTTGGAAATATCACTGCAAAAATTGTCTGTCATGTGATATTGTTCTGATGTATAGAACATACACATCTACAAATTGTTGATTTAAAAAAAATCTAAAAAACTTGATTATTTCTCTAAAGAGACCTCTGTCTTTATGGTGTTTGAAAGAAAGCAGACTGACTTCTCAGAGTGACATAGGAATTGGTTCATAAATGAGACAAGTTGTTGACCTTGTATGTCACTTTACAGAAGTCCAAAGTAAGTGAGAAGAGACAAGGCAAAATAGGAGGAGGAAAGGATGCACTTTTAAATGGTAGAAATAGAAAATTCTGTAGTTTGGAGTGTTAGAAAACTTTTACAGGCTGAGAAAAATGCAAAGGAGCTAGTAACAATATCTATGTCCTTATTGTGAAGGGAGTGCAGAGAAATAGATGAAGAACTGCAGTGTAGAAATAGCAGGAAAAAAAAGGATTATGGATGTAGTAAGAATAGTAAGCCTAACTGGAGATTTATTTCTAAAAATAGTTAGCTATTTCAACTAGAGGTTGCTCATGATGGTGCAGTGAATTGCTAAGTCATTAATGTCAGAAACTAGAGCAACAGAATGTGAGGGACTGGTATAATATTAGATACAGGATATTGTATTAGAAATGTGACAGCTAGGTCTGAAACAATTCAGCCAGACACAGATAAATACGTTCAAGAAATATTGTAACCTCTTTAAGGATGCAATAATCAATTTAAAAAGGGGGTGGGATGAAGCGTTAGGTGGTGTGTGAATGCAAATCTAAGACTCACATGTGATGTAAGTCCCTCATGAGACTCCCAGGTTAGGAGCTGGACAGTGAAGAGATCTCAGTGATGCTATTATAGGCACAGAAATCACCTAGAATTTCATTATTGTGGTAGAATCTGTCTTTGCCTATATACATTGGAAGGCAACTGCTTCTTATAATGACAAGCTATTCTTGGCTGTGACAGGCATTAGAATTCTTTATCAAATAATCATACACTTACCCTACTTTCTGTAAGAAACCTATTACACCTCTCTCTAAACTCAAGTAGGACAAGTTCAAAACTTCTAGGAACTATATTTCAAGCAGTGGCCTTTATTTTAATAGGTACTTTAAATCACATTTTGCTTAGGGAATAGAGGAACACCTCTGATCCCATATAGGACTGGAGCTACTAGAGTGGGCCTCCAATCTCTTGAATACAAAAATACACATTATTTGCTGAAAGAACATGAGAGTATAAGACAGAAGAGTATAAGACAGAATATGGTATGATCACCTGTTGGAGGGCAGATCTGATCAATATTTTAGATGCTGGGTGTCCCAGGAATTCTGGTTACATTTTAATAAGTAAATATTCTTTCCAGCTTTAAGAAGACTTACTGTATTGAACAAGATCTTTTATCTTCAGAATATGACTTGTTGAAAATTTAAATTTCAAATTTATGCAAAATAAAAAATTTATGTGAAGAGGCTAGTAAATATGAAAAAGATAGTCTATATGCAATTTATTTGTTAAGTTTAAAATTTTTTTTTCTGTCTTCAACTCTTTCAAGGTTTAAGTAAATTTACTTCATTTGTTTTCAGTTTTTAGTGCCATATGTTAAAGAGATACAGCAAAAACTACTGATAAACTAACTCACCTTATCCATTACACCTGAAATTTCATTAACTAATGGCTTGGTCAAAAAGTCTGAAAACTGACACCAATTTTTCTTAGAACATCACTTTCCATTAGGGAATTTTAAAATTAAATATCAGCCAAAAAGATACACTAAAATAGGTTTTAAGAATTGATAAGGCATAATGTCTTTAAGCATACAGATTGGCACTTTATCCCTAACAGAGTTTTCTAAGCCACGCTCACCAATCTTCACTGTGTCATTCCACCTCTTTCATGTTTCCTTGAGTTTCCTCAAAAGTATCTAAAATATAATTCCTCAAGAAAACAGCAACAGGTAGACCTGATTTGCCTCTTTTACCTGGACATATCTTGTTCACTGGACCCTTGCAGATATAAATCCATTCTCCTACCTGCTTACCTTTAAGCAACTTCACCTTTCAGTCATCAGTTCCCTCTTACTCCACTCACCTAACTAGTTCTTCCCAATTTATTAAATATACAAGCATATTACAAGAAATAAATGTGAAATTTTGTTATAACTGGGCTAAATAAATGTATAGGATACTTCTATACTCTATTATATTTATGAAAGCTCTGCCATATTAAAGTGAATTAAATATTCATCTCTGCCTCATACAGATCTCTTGATTTCTTGATAGAAATGGAAACTCCTTCCTTCGTTACAACACATTTTATGTAGTGAAAGTCCCAAAGAACAGAGACCACAGTGTATTTTAAAACTATAATTTTATGCAACCACCAAAAGAAATTCATAAGCTGCTCATGGTTTTGTGACATTGTGAAAACCAAAATTATTTCATTCTTGGATGATTCATTATATTATTGCCTCTCATTTTCAGGACTGAGCAAAAGGAAAATAATTCATTGAAAAATTATTTTACCACTTAAGGCTGCAAATATATAGCTTACAGGTAATTCATCGTGTTCTCTGACTTTCAAGTGTCAAATTTCCAGTTTCTTATTGCCAGGAGAATTTATAGTGCAAAGCTAACACCCAGGGCTTTACTGACCAGCCCTGGAGCAACACCTACTAGTATTTCCAGAACAGCTAAGCCAGCAGAAATATAAAGGGAGGACAGAGTACTCTAGCAGTGAGTTGCTTTTACCCTTCATGGCCAGTGTGACACCTTTGAGTTGTATAATGTACACATCATGAAATAGCACATCATATTTTTTGTGGGAGGATGATGAATGTATAGACAGAGCTTCTGGTACTTTCTCTAAAGGATTTGGCTTGCAAATCTCTGCTTGTTGCACCCAGGTGTCTCAGCAGAAGGAAGGGGACCATGAATGAGCACGTGGCTTACTCCAACAGTACAACTAGGTAATCAGCATAAATAAAAATGTTAGAAAGAGCTCCAAATATGGCAAAAAATTGCATTCTGATTCAATTCTGAATCAAATGTTTATCAATGATAATTGAACAGTAGCTTTGAATTTTTTTTATGCTAAGGCTCACCAAACAGTCTCCTGGCTCTGTCCTGCCTCTCCTTCTGGTCTGGTCCTTCAGATGAGGATACACACCAGCTCACAGACACGTTGTCCTGTGGGCTGCACACCTCCCCTCATCACCATTCCCAGGGCTGCTGTGGGGATGGAGCTGCAGCTGGTGTGCACATCATACCTGGCTCTCCGGAAAAGTGCTGCCACAAGTGACTGAAATCCCCAACACATGGCTAGGCCACTTCCTCTGTTAATAATGGGAACTTGCATTTCAGTGGGCAACACCATCTTTCTTCACCATAAGTGAACAAAATGTTAGAAATATATCTGCCTGAGAGAGTTTATCTAGTGTAAACCAAACAACGTTATTTCCTTCTTTTGCCATTTTAAATTAAATTTATTAAGCTTTCAACTGTGTTTGTGATTTCTTTTAAGGAACTTAGCAAAATTTCAGCTTTTATTTGACTTTTTCCTACTCCTTGGAAAGGTTTTAAATGATAATTAATTGTACCTACCCCCAATCAGCATTGTGCAAATGGAGAAGATCTTTTCAGCATCAGTATTGGCTGAGACATTTCCAAAGCCAACACTGGTGAGGCTGCTGAGAGTGAAATACAGGGCAGCTATATAGGCACTTCTGATTGATGGGCCTCCAAGAGTATTATTTTCATAATAAGGAGATTCAATTCGTTTTCCTAGCTCATGAAGCCAACCTGCAAAACAAAGCATAAAAAGAGTTACTTTTTTATAATACTGACACTACCATGAAAACTTTACATTATACTAATAAAACAGTTCTAGAAACCCCCACAAATCTACTTAAAAAACCTTATATTCTTCACATAACTCCAAGAATAAAAAGACCATTAAACTGTGGGAATTTATGCAGCACTTTAAGAATTGTGTCTCTGGGATATTTATTTTTATGTGCAATTTTTTATGATAAGAATTGTATTTCTGCATTGAAATCAAGTGGTTTTGAATTGCATATTACAGGTCTAATTATATAATTTATAAAATCCATTAAGTCACTAAAAAAAACCACATCTTCACCTAATAGCACTGCAGCAACAATGCATCATCATTTGATTCTTTCCATTAATTAATGCTTGGAAAGCTTTTTGACATTCTAAGACTAAATCATTATAATAGTAATTACATATTCAGAGCTTTTCACATGTTTCTTTTTACAGTAGAAAAGATTCAAAGAACTAAACATAACTTACAAACCAGAATTAATTTTCAAAACATGCTTCAGTAAGTATTTTCTAAATTGTTCATTAAATTTTTCCTTTCATTTTGATAAACGTGTCTATGTGCGCCAGAGAAAGCAGAATTAGCTACTGCCTCTGATATTTGAAAAAAAACCAACAAAACAACCCCAAAGCAACAATGCAGGAAAAAATATCCAGCTGAAAAACACAACCTGAATGAATTGCATAAACACAATTCTTTGGAAAAATCAAGACTGGGGAAAAAAAGAAGGACAAAAATCTATTTGTGTGCCCAGTTTTGCCTATTAAACAGCTTGCTTGGGAGATTGGGAATCTTCCTTGGGTATACAGGAAGAACTGCCAAAAGAAAATAATCCTGACAGACAGAGTTTTATTTTTAGAAAAGTTCTTTGGGGATCCCCCTTTGTTAGATGGGACCTGACAGACTGAATCACCTCCTAAAGATCATTCTCTTTTCACTTCAGTCAGCATCCATGAATTCAGTCAGAATCCATGGATTCATCCATTCGATGAATCCAAATATGAACTGGGGGAAATCTCTTTGCACAGAATGTCTACAAAAGCAGGGTGTAGATTTAGAGTATCTGTTCCAGCACTTCCAATTAAGTTGGGAAGAAAATCTGTAGGAATTTAGCACCTAGAGAAGACTTGCTGAACCATGGTTGTTCCCATGCTCATCTCCATGCTGCCTGGCATGCTGTTCTCCAGAGAAAGCTCAGCCAGAAGGGCTGGGTAATGGCACAGCAAGGTCTGGCCATGGCCCTGCTGATCCAGTCTGTGCAGGACAGGGAACTTGATCAAAAGCATAAATGAAAGCAATTGGCATTGTCATACAATGGCAGTACTGAGTAGGATGTTTTATCTTGCCAACAGACAGGAAAGCATGTGAAAATCTCCTTGATTTTGCCTGGATAGACAGTATTGATCAAGTGGGACTATTTTATATTTGTGGGTCCCAATTATTTAAAATGAAAATAGAGCAAAATGGGAAAAAGGAAAAAAGAAGCCTAGATGAGTCAATACCAATACTCTGTGCACTTCTGTTTTTCTGAGATTGCACTACATCTCCCCAACAGTAGCATGATCCTTTGTATGGCAGATTGAATTCCTATATTTCTATAGTAGGGAATGTAACCACAAACATTAAAGAGCATAGAATAAAAACCTAAGAAAATCTCTGGCAGAGAGAGGACAAAGTTAAAAAAGTCTATCTAAGCCTAGCGTAAAGTAATACAATCATAAAGTCCAAGATCACCTCAAGATTGTTTCAGTGGCAAAACTGAAACAAATAAGTTATTGTAAAGAACGGTAACTGATATGTTTCTTAGGAGAAAATCTCCTGCCTCGGAGTTTTCTAAAGTCCACTGATTCTCAGCCTGTGTATTTCCATTTTTCTCACTTTTTATGCATTTCCAGTGCTATCCAGGAAAGGTGGATGACTGCATTTTTTAACTGAGAGATATATGTGAATTGGTTTCTGCTTTACAACTCACTTCATTTTCAAGGTTTTTATCCAAGCCTAGTGAAACATTACTGCTCCTAAAGGATTCATACTACTAATAAAATTGAGGTACAAAGATATGTGTCTATATTGTGTCAATCAGTAGAAGTCTCTATAATATTTTTACAAAAATTTAATACCAAAATACCAATATAATAATATTATGATTTCTAGCAAATACTTCTGGCCAAGATACCAGTATTTGAGATGAGTTTAGTATCTAGTGTCTAGTTCTGTGGTATAACTGAAGGTCAGACAAATCATCCCCTTAGTAATCTATATGGCTTATCACTGAGCTAAACCAGCAGTAGATAGCAATGATTAGCATTTCTTAGTGATTGCTAAAATCATGCCCACAATGTAAAGAAAAGCTATGAAGTAAATGTATTTAGAGATTTAGACTTGGAATAGAAAATGTATTTCTGAAAGGGAAAACTGCAAAAGTATATTTCTCTGACTTGTAGATAAGACCATGTTTACAGCTTCTCATTTCTATTTTGGCTGGCAGAGATTATCCTAATCAGGAACTTCTGAAAAAATTATATATAGTGGTGTTCCAGCCAGAGTCTATAAAATGCTACAATACCTCCCAGATCAACTTTACTTCCCATATTTGTTGATAGCACTGCATTTTATGGGCTTTTTTTTTTCAGTTTCAGGGTAGAGGCAAGACACAGTTGGGTGTAAATACTTTCATCAGCCAATGGAAATAGTCATGAGGTAGCATCACTGACTAATGCATTTTCCTCTTCAGTTCCTGTAGGTAACAGCTCTCAGCAGATTCTCTGGCAAGCTTGAGTAATTAATTTCTGCCCTCAGGGAAGAAGAGAAAAATAAATATACCTTGTAGTCAGAGGGAGCTTCCTAGAATCTAGCATTATGAATCGTGTCTGCTTCAGAATTAGCATTGTCTAGGCACAGCTCTCTGACTTTGAAAACATTTTAAAGCACCAATTAGCATAATTAAGAGGAAGGCCTTTCAAAGGGAAAAAGAGCACTTAAGTAATCAAGTCCCATTGGAAAAGTCAATAGGAATTGGATATTTAGCTCCATTAGGCTACTTTGAAAATTGCTGTAAGAATCTGTATTGAGTTTCATTTACTTATATCTGGGAAGTGCTCAAGTATCAGCAGAAGCCTAAAAAAAGCTTTTAAACCTCCATAGATGACATACTTTTTAAGTGGATGTAAATCACATTATTTCATTTACTAGACATCCAGAAAATCAGTCCTTCTCCTGGCTTGGTGCTTTCTCTGCCTCGGGTATGTACAATACTCCCTATAATTTGGAGCTTCATTCTATACTACTACTTAGATTTTCTTTTCATGCCAGACACTTAGCATACCAAAATACTGGCTTGGTACTTCAAAAACTTAGAAATTAGTTGCATCTTCTAATGCAATAATTAACTATAGCACTTATTTTAAACACAAGAGCAACAACTTCTTTTCCAGTTTAAAAACAGCCCCAGGTCTCTGGTTTATTCTGCACTACAGTGTCAAGAAGAGTAAAAAGGTGTGGATAAGAAGTGCCTCTGAAAGCATCCCTGAATGTCTGAAAGCAATAGCAGTGATGATGCTGAAAGAGAAAAGTATGAGACAAAGGCCAAGCTTCTCTCAGCTGTGATTCCACATCAAATTTAGGGATTTCAAGTATTCCTATGGGAAATATGAAGGTAGAAAAGCCTATCTGCTCTCACATAACCACTTTTTTTTGATGTCTAAACAGTATTTCGACCTCATTCAGGGCCAGACAATACCTGGCCCTTTCATGTTAGTGAGGAGAGACAATAAGCAATACTAAGCTAATAGTAGACAAAGACAAAAGGTAGTGAGAAATGCTGGAATTAACTGAAGGACATTGTGCATTGTATTTAGTGGGGATTATATTTAAGGAGTATGCCTGAGGCTTGTTTTATTTTTCTGACTCAACTGAAAAGAAATAATAATAGAAAAATGTCCTGAACTGTAGCATATGCAGCCTTCTGACATTAAAAGATTTTAAGTTTCAATACAGAAGTCACTATCCTATGACTACTAATGTGTGTTGCAGTGAAGAATTTAGTGCCATTAAGGAGAAGATAAAAACTGTACAAGAGAAATTAGATCCTTCATCACTGGAATGCATTTTTAAATGAAAATCACCGTGTAGCCTGAGAGCTGTGCTGGTTCCTACTGCAGTTGTCCCTGATCACTGCTGATAGCTCCTAATTTCAGATCTAGAGCTGTAGTTTTGCACAACAAAGCACATCACCCTTTCATCAGTTAGCAGCACCCTCTGATCTGCAAATAAACATCTCATATTTCCATTTTAAATGGGGAAAAATGGTCCAAGTTTCTATTGATTTCAGTGAACCAAGATTCTTGGTTGCATCCATTTCTATATTTCTCTGTATTAACCCCCTGACAATAAACCTTAAGGCAGTACAGTTGTGAAGAGAGACCAAGCAGGTGAATTTCCTTCTTTTTTAGGTAAAAGCACCTGGGATTACAGTTTCTTTGATTTTAGATGTCCAAATCACTTCCCTCAACTGTCTTTGTGGCTTCTTCAGAATCTATCATAGCTAAATATATTTTGAAGAGGGGAGGCCAGAGCTAATATTGTATTTCAGATGAGAGCTTTTAGAACAGCATAATGAATACATTTTACCATATCAAACCCTAATTATCATTCATTAGACATTAAAACAGTAGCTTCATTTTTAAGATTGCTTCCAAAGAATTTTGCACAATTACTCTCTAGATGTTGCTGACTGATATGACACATTCAGCATCTAAAGGTGTATAAGATGAAATCATTTTACTTCTTGTGTGTATGACTAAATTATTGAATAATCATTGCCTCTGTTCTCATGGCGATTACTCAGATTCTTCACAAGAGCTTCAAAGTTTTTTATCTCTGTCTAGCCAAAATTTTTCTGACATGTGCAGCTTTTCCCTGCTAAAATATTTGTGGTTTTCCCCCAGTCTATTAATAG